TACGCATAACAATTAACGTCACAGACCTTAACGTCTGTCTCTTATACACATCTCCTTAAATGCTTTAAGCACGAAAATCCCAAGTGCTGTTTCTCATTTTTTTTTGTTAGTTTATTTATATTTTTTTTTTACTTTTTTGCAACCTCAGTAGTCTACCAGCTGTAGGAATGTCTATGCTGTCTCTTATACACATCTAGATGTGTATAAGAGACAGTGATTTAGAAGCGTGTTTTTTTTTTATTTTTTTTTTACTTTTTTTATATTTTTTTTTTACTTTTTTTATATTTTTACCTATTACCTTTAAACCGTAAATAAAGCGTATTTTGCATTTTAATGCTTTATCTGCAACTGTTGCTCGTTTACCTTCGTTTTTTTTGAAGCTTTCGATACATAATTAATGAATTGAGCAGCTGACGCATTGTTGCTTACATCTTACATACGTCACTCTCCAAAACAAATAACTAAATATGGGCTGTAAGCATGGCTAAGTAGTATGTTGTAGCTTCTCCGGGAAAGCGGTATTTGTTAATGTCCGAATTATACCCAGCGCTCTTTGTTTATTGTCGTGTTTTTTTTACAATATTTGTATTTCGGTCAACGCTTTGCTCGCGGGTTTTCAACCCGAAATTTCTATGAAGAATCTAATAATTATGTGAATGGATTTTCGTTGCTTTTTTATTCGCAAATATTATTTGCGTGTTTTTGTGCAGAAAGGTATTTATTTTCGATTTTACAGTTGTTATTGATGACCTTCCTTGCTTAACATACTCTAAGGTGTATATAACTATTTTGCCAATCAATTTGCACCATGTCCGTATGTTATGAAGTGTTTTTGGCACCTTGGTCGTGTTTATCAAGCAAAGGTTAGTGCCGCCTATCACTACAACAACTACAAGGAAACCAATTTGACAGCATTTTACATGGTCAATGAGCCATGAGCAGAAGAGGTTTAGTCTTTTTTTAGTGGATTTGATCTATATGTGTGATAATAAATTTGCGAATTCAATGTTAGAAAATATATATATAACATTGCTTAGTTCTTAATTAAATAACGTTGTAATAAAAACTACATTTATATATATTTTTTAGTTTTTATTCATTGGAAAA